GAGAGAGAGAATGAGAATGAGTAGCCCAGTCCTGCATCCCTGACCTGGCAGAAACCGGAGGTGACAGGGCAACTCAACAAGACAGCTTGGGGTCAAGTCTGCAACCACTCTTTTTTTCTAATAAACATTTATGGAGCACCTACTGTGTGCTGGGTATAAGCAACGTTTCGGGGAGACAGCAGCTACACCAGTGGACAACATCCATGGCTTCCAGGTGCTTGCGGATCAGTTGGACAAGGGAGACCAAAAGCATGGTGAAGTGGGGCATGGATGTGAGGAGTGTTCTGGCCCACCTGCAGGGCATGGTGGGAACTTATAAAAGGATGGTGGCTGCTGACCTGGTGTGGGTACCAGGGGAGGCATCTTGGAGGAGGAAATGATGTTTTGTTTGAGACCTGAAAAATGAGCAGGGGTTAGCTGTGGGGAAAAAAATATTGGAATGGGAAGGTGAGCATCCAGGCGGGGGGGATGGGGACCCGGGGGGGGCGTGGTCCTGCCTGGGAAGGACCCTGGCACAGTTACACAGGCAGCAGGGCTGGATACTGCAAAGACACATGGGTAATTTTAAGGACCTCAGATTCCATGCAGAGGGAGCGTTTAGATCACTTCCTAGCTTTGTGATTCTGAGCCTCTGTATCCTCATCATAAAAATGGAATCAGGAGCTGGAGAGATGGCTCAGTGGGTAAAATGCTTGCTGTGCGAGCAGGAGGACCTGAGTTCGGATCCCCGGCACTCATGTAAAAAGTTGGGTATGGCTACCTACGTCTGTAATCCCAGAACAGGGGGTTAGAGACAGCAGATCCCTGGAGCTCCCTTCCCAGCCTGCCTAGTTGAAACAGCAAGCTTCAGGTTCAGCCAAGAAAGCCTGTTTCAAGAAAAGAACAGGATGGGCCAGGTATGGTGGCGCATGCCTTTAGTTTCAGGACTCGGGAGGCAGAAGCAAGTGGATCTCTGTGAGTTCCAGACCAGCCTGGTCTACATATAGAGTTCCAGGCCAGCCTGGGCTACACAGAGAGACCCTGTCTAAGAAAATAAATAAGGAGCTTGAGAGATGGCCCAGCTGGTAAGAATACTGGCTACTCTTGCAGATATCCCAAGTTCAAATCCAAGCTCTGGCACGGTGGCTAACAACTATCCATAGCTCCAGTTTCAGGGGATCTGATGGCCTCTTCTGACCTCCATGGGCATTGCACGACACATGTGCACTTACATAAAAGCAGGCAATACACTCATACACATAAAATAAAAATCTATAAATCTATAAATCAATAAATAAGGTGGAGAGTGAAGAAGATACACACATAAAATAAAAAATTTAAATAAAATTATTTTTGTTTTTTTTTCTGTGTGTATGAGTGTGTTGCCTACATGTATGTGAATGCATACATGTGTGAAAATGCTCAAGGAGGCCAGAAAATGGCATCAGATCACCTGGAATTGGAGTTACAAACAGTTGTTAACAGTCATGTAGGTGCTGGGAACTGAAACTAGGTCCTCTGCAAGAGCAGCCAGTAGTCCTAGCTACTAAGCCATCTCTCCAGTATCCCTTCTTTTTGTTTATTTTATACAGGTTCTCACTGTGCAGCCCTGGCTGACCTGGAGCTCACTATGTAGACCAAAGTGGCCTCAGACACAGAGAACTGCTTGCCTCTGCCTCCTGAGTGAGATTTAAAGGTTTGTGTGCTACCATACCCAGATATTTTTTAAAAATTTCTATTAATTCTTTGAGAATTTCATGTGATGTATTTTTGTTGGGGTCCTCTGTTATGCAAGTAGAAGTCTCTTCACGTCCGGATAGCTCATGAGCTCGGAAAACCATGTGCTGCAGATTCCTTTCATAGCAGAGTGCCTTACTGACATCCTCCCTGACTCTTCTCTTAAAGTGTTTGCCACAAATACATGCCCTCCGGCACAGGAGCTACCAGGTTTTAGTCAGGCGTTGTCTGATAGCCTGATAGAAGCCCACTGCCCTATGGAAATGTGGCATCCTAAAAGTACCTGTCAGCTAAGACTTCTTCTACTGTCTCTACACTATAAATAGCCCTAGTTTTACCCCAATAAAGTTGGAGATGGAGCAGGAGCTGGAGCTGAATCACTGAAATCTGAGCTGAGTCACTTGTCTTGAGCTGTAACACTAAATCCTGTGATCCAGTCTCCCCGGGGGGTCGCTATTCCTCCGTTATCGGCCCACGGATACCCCAGCTTTCGCCGCCTCCATGCCTCTTCCCTGTGGAGTTCACTGGCCAGGAACTCCGCAATCCTGAGGAAAGGCACAAGGGTGTAATAGAGGCGGGATTCTGACTGGATAATACTCCAGTAGCAGAGGAAGCTCTCAGCACCAGAAACTGCGGTAGCCATCAGCTGCCGCTCCAGAGAAGGCTGTAGCTATCAGCTACAGCCAGCATCAGAGAAGTCTGCGCACCCGCCGCGCCGGGTCCAGAGAAGCCAGAGATCTGCTGTGCCACATCCAGAGTGAGTGCGCCCAGGAGCCCAGGGGCACTCCCCACATCGCTTGTGGCCAGGCTCACGCCGGGACTAGCCAGGTGTGGCGGGGACCACCAGGGTGCCCGCACACACCATGCCAAGGGTCCAGCGACCTGCCCCATACCTGGCGCCCAACGTGACGCCGGGGGTCCAGCGACCCGCCCCATATCTGGCGCCCAACGTGGGGCTTGGTTTGGCTTCTCAACCTCGTGCACAACGTGAGAGTCCTCTGAACTTCGTGCCAGCTCGGAGCTGGTGCCCACAGAAACGCCAGGAATCCGTGAGTACCCTTCCCTCTCAGGAAGGTAGTTTAATCTCTTTCTCCCTTCTAAAATTTCCTCCTTTCCCTTTCCGGTCTAGAAGTCTTCGCGGTTAGACAAAATATTTTGATCCCTTTCACCCTTCTCTCCTCCAATTCCTCACAGACCCAACCCTTCCTTTCCTTATCCAACCAACTCTGTGTCCTTCTCTCTCTTTTTTTAATCCCAGTATTTCTTGAGACTACTTGAGAATGTTAAAAGTGTGGCTTCTCATTGTTCAAGCTGGAAATTAGATAAGTAATGGATTTGACTTTATGATACCTCAACTTCTTCTCATGTAAATTTATTATATATCTACTTATTATATATATTTTTATAAACTTAAGAAAGCTCCAGAAAGGACTGGAAAGGTAGCTCAGCGGTAAAGAGCACTGGCTGTTCTTTCAGAGAATCTGAGTTTGGTTCCCAGAACCCACATGGTGGCTAATAACCATCTATATCTCCAGTCCAGGGGATCTAATGCCCTCTTCTGGCCTTTGTGGGCATTGCATGTGTGTGGTGCACTTACATGCAGGCAAAACACTCATATACATAAAATAAAAATAAAATCTTTAAAAAAAAACTTCACTCTTGCAGGAAAACTTTAAAACAGGATGTTCTAGAGGGAGGTAAGCAAAAGGCTGTTCTAAAACTAAGTAAATGGAGCTGGAGCGATAGCTCAATGGTTAAGAGCACTGGCTACTCTTGCAGAGGACCGGGTTAAAAATCCCAGCACCCGCACCCAGGTGTAGTGGCACATGCCTTTAATTCTAGCACTTGTGAGGCAGAAGCAGGTAGATCTCTGAGTTCAAGGCCAGCCTGGTCTACATAGTAAGTTCCAGGCCAGCTGGGGCTACAGGGAGACCCTGTCCAAAAAAAAAAAAAATCCAGCACCCACATGGCGGCCATCAAACATCCATAACTCCAGTTCCAGGGGATGCTATGCCATCTTCTGACCTCCTTGGGTGTTGCAGGACACGAGCGCACTTACACAAATGCAGGCAAATACTCATAATATAAAATTAAAAAAATTTTTTTAAAAAGGAAGTAAACAATTCAATAGCTTCAGGAAACTGCTGAAACTCACCAGGTTCACTAGATCCCTCCTTCCCCAAGCTTATATAAGCCCCAAGGACTGCTGACAGATGTTCCCAGATAAGCTGAGATGCCTGGACGAGGCTTAGACCACCTAAGTCTCCTGAAAGCCACACTCTCCAACCTGACAAGCTGCCTATAGGTCATGCAGTGAGCCCCGGGTTCCCTGTTTTCATGAGCTGTCACCCATGCTGGTGTAGCCATTGATGAGATAGCTGCCTTTGAGTCATTTCTGCTTCTGTAAGTGACCCATCACCCAAGGTCTTCTAAGTAACCCCTCACCTGTACTTCTGTAAGTAAGCCCAATAGAACTCATTGATTCGCCAAGTTGGACTTTGGTGGTATCCTTACTTTGGTCTGTTGTTAGTTCCCTAATCTGGGATAGTAGACATTTGCTCACCTCCCCCAGGAACAGTCTCATGCAACAATGCCCATATACCTGTCCACTAGAGAAAGAAAAGACCAGGATCAGAAGATACACATCCATACTCACCATCTGGAGATAGTCTACTCATTAGCCCTGAGGAAGGAGACAAAACAAATGATGTCAACACACACAGCAAATGCAACTTAAAGAAAATCCACAGTGAATGGAGGTCCCCAGTCCAACAGATTCAGCCAACTCCCTTCTTGGGGCAATGTGCCTAGGATACCCTAGAGACGGAGGTGGTGAGCCCCTAGAATGGGAGAAGAAGCAACATAATAATCACATTTTGAGTTTCTTAATGGCTAGTAACACTCCATGTCCTTGTGTTTTGTCTTTGTTTTTTTTCACCCAGCAGTAAGCTTCTATCTTTCTAACCCATAGCCTGTTTCTGCCCACACGAGGTGACTCTTTCTGTACCTGTTAAACAGCACACAGAGCAGAAGAGGTTGGGGTGCCCCACTCTTACCCCAGCCAATCAACAGTTCAGTTATTCCTGTGCGTGTGGACAGAGACAGAGAGACCCAATCCCTGCTACATAAGGGGCTCATAGACAGCTTTAGACCAACAGAGAAAAGAGGGAAGGGAAATCGCTGGTGGGGGGGACACCCTAAACCCCAGTAAATACCCAGATGCCCTTAGAGTGAGTGGTCTCTCCAACTCTAGGAACTCCTTTTCTACCTGAGAAGGCTGCTAATGCTTGCCATTAAACTCACTTTGCACTGAGCTGTTTTCCCATCTCTCTCTCTCTCCCTCCCTCCCTCCTGCCTTCCTTTCTTCCTTCCTTGGATTTTTTGAGACATGGCCTGTGGTTCTTTGAGTGAAAATGGCCCCCATAGGCTCCAAGTATTTGGACATTTTGTCCCCAGCTATTTTGGGAGGTCTTAGAAGGTGTGGCTATGCTGGAGGAAGCACATCACTGGGGGTGGACTTAGAGAGTTCTTAAGCCTTGCCGGATCTCGAGTTGCTCTCTTGCTTCCTGTGCCTGCTTGAAGATGTGAGCACTCTGCCTTCTACTTCCCCTCCAGCCATCTCCTGCCACCATGCCTCCCCGCCATGATGGACTGTAATTCCCCTGGAACTATAAATTCAAATAAACTCTTCCTACTATAAGTTGCTTTGGTCAGTGTTTCTATCACAGCAACAGAAAAGTAATTAATACATGGCTTGTAGCCCCAACCAGCCTGGAATTCACCATATAGGCTGGCCTTCATCTCACAGAAATCCCCTTGCCTCTAACTCCCAAGTTTGGGGATTAAAGGCATGAGCCACCACATCTGGCTTTAATTCTTTTTTTTTTTTTAAATTTACTTATTTAATGTGTATGAGTGTTTTGCTTGTTTGTTTGTAAGTGAACCATGTGCCTGAGGAGGCCAGAAGAGGGTGTTGGGTTTTGACTACTTTAAAACTGGAGTTATGGATGGTTGTTAGTTGTCATGTGGGAGCTGAGAACTGAACCTGGGTCCTCTTCAAGAGCAGCCAGTGCTCTTAACTGCTGAGCCATCTCTCCAGCCCCAGCCCCATGCCTTCTAATTCTTTAACTGATGTAGAAAAAGAACTCACCTCCTAGCCAGTATCATTATGATTTAGAGTTTCCTTAATTGTCTCAACCCCTTGTCTTAGCCTAGTCATAAAAGGCATCATTTGCCTCTAATATGGTTTGAAAACTGGGTCAGTGGCCAACTTTATCATTGTGCAAACATCATAGAATATATGTCATCAAAACAAGATAGGGACTGAAGAGGTGGTTAAAAGCACTGGCTGCTCTTGCAGAGGACCTGGATTCAGTTCCTAGTACCCACATGGCAGCTAACAACCATCTGTAACTCAAGTTCCGGGGGATCTGATGCCCTCTTTTGACCTCCATGAACACTGAATGCATATAGTGTGCTTAAATGCAAGCAAAATACACATAAAATATAAACAAAAAATTTTAAGTATTTTCTTTATTTCTATTTTATGTGTCTGTTTTTCCTGAATGTAAGTGTACCACATGCATGCAATGCCCGTGGAGGCCAGAAGAGGACAATAGATTCCCTTGAATTTCAGTTATAGACGGTTGTTAACCACCATCTCCAAGAGCAGCAAGTGCTCTTAACTGCTGAACAGTCTCTCCAGTTCCTATAAGTTTTTAAAACAAAATAGGTACAACATCGTTAATATTAAGGGACTGTGGGTGTCTATGCAAGCTGTCACCGAGCAGTTGCATGGTACAGCATACGATTCGTAATACATGTTCCTGCTAGATTCTGGGTTTCTACTGTTCTATCTTTGGGCTTCCATTTTCTGAGTATGAGTCCAGACAGCTAAATGCTCATGAATTCTTGTGTGTGTGTGTGTGTGTGTGTGTGTGTGTGTGTATAATGTAGTGTAGTGTACATGGGCATGGGTAGGTCAGAGGACAACTTTCGGGAGTTGGTTCTCTCCTGCTACAATGTGGGTCCCAGAGATTGAACACAGATCATCAGGCTTGATGGCCCCTTTACCTACTGAGGCACCTCACCAGCCCACAAACTCTTGCTCAAAGCTTTCCACTGATGTCCACAGTCCAGGACATTGTCATTGTGACTCAATACTTACCAAAGATTCCTGATGGCAGCCGGACCAGGAGAGGTGCCGTGGTGACCAAGGTTACAGATGAAGCACAGGCAGTTGAGTCTGACGGGTCATGGAGACAAAGCCACAATTAGAAAGCCAAAAACAAGGTCAGACACTGGGGGCTGAAAACATGTTGGAAAACGGAATCTACAATGGGTCTGATGCACGGTCAGGGACAAAGACCCAGGGTCCACGAGAATCCCAAGAATCCCTGTGCAGCTGATGCAGGGGAGCACTTAGTGACTGAACTGGGAAAGGCAGATGCAGCTTGCTAGAGAAAACATCATGCTAGAGGAAAGCTGCCCTTTGTCAGGTCTAGAATGAGGAACCATCCACCGTTTTTAATTGACAGATCACATTTTATTTAGTTTCAGGTTTGAAAAAAAGATTTATTTTTATTTTATGCATACGAATGCATGTATGTAAGTGCACCACATATATGCAATGCCTGGAGAAACCAAAAGAGGGCATTAGATCCCCTGAAACTAGAGTTACTGACAGTTGTTAGCCTCCAAGTGGGTGCTGAGCACCAAACTTGGGTCCTCTGCAAGAGCATCCAGTGCTCTTAACTGCTGAGTCATCTCTCCAGACCCATGTTGTTTCAATTTTCAGTCCTGGCCATTGAACCCAGGGATTTGAACATGATAGGCAGGTTCTCTACCCCTGAGCCACACCCCAGTCCCTCACTGGGGGATTCTAGGCAGGGGCTCTACCACTGAGCCACACCCCAGCCCCTCACTGGGGGGGTTCTGGGCAGGTGTTCTATCACTGAGCCACACCCCAGCTCCTCACTGGGGGGTTCTGGGCAGGTGTTCTATCACTGAGCCACACCCCAGCCCCTCTCTGGGGGATTCTAGGCAGGGGCTCTACCACTGAGCCACACCCCAGCCCCTCACTGGGGGGGTTCTGGGCAGGTGTTCTATCACTGAGCCACACCCCAGCTCCTCACTGGGGGGTTCTGGGCAGGTGTTCTATCATTGAGCCACACCCTCTGTACAGGTGATGGCTCTTTACTTCCATGTACTTTACCTTAATCTTCCAAGACCAAAGTGTTGCTCCAGAATGTTGATGAGAATAGGCTGGTAAGTGAAAGAGAACTTTACTCTGATTTTCTCTATAAATGCCCATTTTCTCATTGGCCTTCTAGGAATATTAATTGAGTAAATCTTCCTGCAGACCAAGGAACCCCACTAACTTGTAGAAAAGACTGTAAATAGCTCCCAAGGGGCTGGAGAGATGGCTCAGTGGTAAAAAGCACTGGCTGCTCTTGCAGAGGACCTGGGTTCAATTCTCAGCATCCACATCACAGCTAACAATCATCTGTAACTCCAGTTCCAGAGGAATCTGACACCCTCTTCTGACCTCTGCAGGTATTGCATGACACAGGTGCACTTACACACGTGCAGACAATACATTCATACACATAAAAATAATACCCTGGCGTGGTGGTGCATGCCTTTAGTCCCAGCACTGCAGAGACAGAGGCAGGCAGATCTCTATGAGATCAAGGCCAGCCTGGGTTACATAGTGAATGCCAGGCCAGCTGGGGCTTCAGGGAGACCCTGTCTCAAGAAGGCCAATAATAATATTATTATTAATAATAATAGAATAAAATATTAAATAGCTCACAAAACATCCTATGAATCACCTGAAGCCACCTAATAGACGATGCCAGTAATGTCAAGATTGAATGGTTCATATTTAATGTATACATTTTATTATTTTTAAATTATTTTTTATTTTTACTTATGTGTATAGCTGTTTGAGCTGCATATATTTTGCCTGGTCCCATGCATGGAATGCCCACAGAAGTCAGAATAGGGCATTGGATCCCCTGGAGCTGGAGTTATAGATGGTCGTTAGCCACTATGTGGGTATTGGGTACTGAATCTGGGTCCTCCGCAAGAGCAGTCAGTGTGCTTAACAGCTGAGCCATCTCTCTAACCCTGTAATGGTATTTTTTTAATTTTAATTTTTCTATTTTCATGTGTGTATGTGTGCATGGCATGCATGTGTGTGTGCATGTTTTTCATATGAGTGGGCACACATCTGTGTGGACCCTTGTGCATATGTGTTTTACTAGCTTCTGGAAGTTTCTGAAAGTGACTAGGTTCACTAGGCCCCTCCTTCCTCAAGCCCTAAGGACTGCTGAGAGACACTGTCAGACCTGTTGAGCTGCCTGTAGGCTGTGCAGTGCTCCAGGTTTCCTGTTTTCACCAGCTGTCGCCCATGCTGGGGTGGACTTTGGGGAATGTAGTGCTCTTTGAGTGATTTCTGCTCCTGTGAGTAATCCCAATAAACTCATTCATTCACCAAGTTGGACTTTGGTGGCATCCTTAGTTTGGCCTATGCTGGTTCCCTGTCTGGGGTAAGTCGGTGTTTGTTTATGTCTCCCTGGGGATAGTGTCATAAAACATGGAGGAGGGCTTTGCTTTGGGAATCACTCCTGTGCCCTTTCCTTGCAGGAAACAGTTGCTTCTCCTATTTCTTGGAGAACCTGTTATATTTGGTTCCATTTGGAAGAAGAAAATAAAATACTGAATTTTGGGAAAGAGAGAGAGTGGCATTTGATGTCCATCAAAGGAAGTGTTCCAACGCTCAATTTTCTTTTTAGTTCCTAAATTAAAAGTTGGGTTGTGGACAGCCAGGACAAGAAAATCGAGTTGAAGTTCAGCGGATTTTTTTTTTTCTGACGAAAACCACGGAAATGGGGAGGGAGACAGACTGAGACACTTACCTTTCAGCACTGTTAGCATCAGGAAGGAAAGGACAGCCAGGACCGATGGGAACATTGTTCCAAACAAGGTGAAGAGAGAACATGAAATAGATTAAGTCATCCTTTGTATGCTGCCCCTCAGTGCACCCCAGACATCCCAAAGACAGGCCAAGGGACCAGAGCTGGAAGATCCTGAATGCTTTTGGAGAGGAGTTTCTCAGAAGTCAGAATCCAGGATACCAGTTCCCTGGGGACTCCAAACCCTCCCTGCTCCATCTGAATCCCAGGAGATTAGCAGAAGGATTGTCCTCCTAACAACCAGATGACACCTGGAAACCAGGATGGTTAATTATTGGCAAAGAAGTAGACCTATTCACCCTTAACCTCACTCCTCTTATCTAAAACTTACCAGTGATGACACAGGCTAGCTCATCTGTACAGACTGAGTGAGTGGGTTTCTAACGGTGCTATTCATTGATCCCACTGGCACTCTGTTAAGAAGAATATTAACAGAAACCCACAAAGGTCCTTTCTTTCTCTCTTGTAAACACTGTTGCCAAAGGGTCTCAGAGACTGGCTGGCCTGCTTGAACTCCATCCCATCACATTCCCACCATGACCTGTGGACCAGGTCATTGGAGGCCATGCTCGGGTTGAGTGTGTTTCTGAATTTACTCCAGTGGAACATGGTAGTCATATGTTTTACCAGTCCCTTTTGTCTCCCTGAGTTGAATCCCACCCCCTCTTCATCCCCTGTGTGTATAGGGAGGGAATGTGACTTGCATTTGACTGGAAGAGGAGCCAGAGTCAAGAGCCAATGAGTCAGCATGGAAAACAGAGGCAAAAACGAGATTAGGATTAGTATGAACAGAGACCATCTCAGTCTCCCCACATGTATCAACCTTCATAGAATGGTTACATGGCTAGTATCATACAGCAGGGAGCTTTTATGCAGTTTGTCGCACATACTTTGATAAAGATCTACAGTGGTATCGCCGTGTTGGCAAAAGTGTTCAGAACTTCTTTACTGTTACACTTTTAGAAATTAGCCATACAGATATATATGTTTTTATACATCTATGCAGATGTGTGTACATATGCCTAGATATAATAGGTGCTAGAGATAGAATCCTATCTACATACAGTTAGCTCTCAGCATGAGCTGTTTCTGCACCCATCAATTCAACTAACCACAAAATTTTACACTTTAAAAATTCTATTTGATAATAATAATAATTAGTAGATGTGAAAAGCATTACCATTGAAATCTACCTGATGACTTTATACCCATGTTCAGATGCCAATGAGCTCAGAAATTAACCGACTGTGATTAGTAATAATCAGATATATAGAGATTAGAAACGCATGTGCATCT